TCTCATAGCAGCAATCGTCTGAATGATATTGCTTGAGAATTTTGTTGAACTGTCTTGTTTGCGCTATATTTACATTATCGTAAACTAATTCTTACTCGTGCATTGCATTAGACTACCTCTTGAACTTGTCATACTGTTGTTACGCATTGAAATAATGTAATTAACAATTATTTAGCCACAGCAGTGCAAATGTTGTTCATTGTAATATGTACAAAAAATTGACTTATGTTTATAGAATGTTTCGTGAAGATTATCAACGAAGAATAAAGTTTTTTAAATGATAGATATATATGTACTTTTGTTTGGTTTGTAACCGTCCAGTGAGAGATCGGTTACCAATATGGTATATTCTTATGTTGCATTTTTGTTTGAAAGGTTTTCTTTGTTTTTTAAGGATACTGATAATACGAATCATTAGCATTCATTGGGAAATTTCGAACGGTTTGAGGGATATTAGTAGATTTAGTAGTGAGATAAATCGCGTTATGGATTGCGATTTGACTCGTCGATTGTTGCTATCAACTACAGTAATGATGATGGTGTTTTTGATCGTGCTTCGAAACTTTAATTGCGGTTCAATTAATTTATTCGTTTGACAATCATTTAAGAGTTCCATGAACGTCTGATCATCACATAGTGATTTTTCTTCGAAAGTTATGATCAGTAGTATGTATGTATGGATTTGATTATAGAATCATGCCCATTATATTGCATTTGAATGCTTTCAAGATGAATTACTTGCAAGCTTATTCATTTATGTGAGTGTTTATTTGAAGCTCATTTTTAGTGAACAATTCATCAGTTAGCTCGGATTTAAATTTCTCGATAATTGTTGTGGTAAAACATCAAATTCGTATTGCATACGTCGAAGTAGAACTGAAATCAAAGTGTGCGCGATTGTTGCGTTAATTTGTCAAAGACTAATATCATTTGAACAGTTTAAATAATTTGTTCAGTTTTGAGCCTTAGGCGTATCATCCGATCGCAAACACCCAAGAGATGTCGTTGCTAAGATATCGTACAATTGTATCACCAGCTCTCGGTAATGTTCTGCTACGTTGCTATGCCTCTGCACCCGCTTCATTCTCGCAACTACCAACCGGTGCCGGAAAGACACCACCGACCCTCGAAGAATTTGATCCTTTGAATCCAGGCGAATGGCAACTTGGAGTGTGTTTTGTTCTGATCAATTTCAGTTTAATTTATTCATTTTACGAGCAGTTTATATACCCAATACGGTTGAGGTAGCATATATCAACGTATATCAATTGCACTGACAACGAGTCCTCATCACCTTCGAAGCTGCACACTACCCCCATTTCCCTCGGTTCAGAGCCGGCATCTTCGAATTTGAGCTCATCTCGATCGGAACAGTTGAAATATTACGTTCTAGGGGGTACATATTCCGGGATATAATTTATTTACCAAAATATACGTTATTAAAGAACAACACATTACATTTATTATTTTACAATTGACACATAATTATTGTTCTTGTTTATTTGAATCGTATTAAAATCACAACAGTATTATAGTTTATAGTGTGTTAATTTGCTGTGATTGTTTCGGTGATTCGTTGGTGAAACTCATTTGTATTTAAGGCAGCTGGCAAAATATTACCGCGTCTTCCCGAGGGAACGAAATGCGGTAAGCTGGTGATGGGTAAATATGGATTGTATGATCCAAGATTACGAAAACAAGTGGAACTCTATTCAGTGAGTGGTGTAACGTTGATTCGAAGTTATCTTTTGAGCAGTTATTATTCGCGGAGTGGATGTGATGAATTTGATTTGAAATGAGAATGATTTTCGTTCACTGAAGAGAGATCATGTCGGAGGATTTATATGATTGAATATGCTATCGATAATTTATCTGATTTTGAGTGTGGTGTGCATTCGAAAATGAAATGAATAATGAGCAAAAATTCAGCAAGCCTTGCTGGATGGTGCGAAGAGTGAAGAGGCACGTCCCTTTGACAAACGCTTAACGATGATCGGAAAGGCAATCGCGTTCACATCGTTCCTGATCGGTCTTTGGAATTTGTTCGTTCTCTTCAATGGAAAACTCATCTGGCCATATACCAATTATAAGGCACCTGGACAGTCCTGATTCAATCAGTAGCACTTTGAAATGAGATATTGTGACTGAAGATGATATGGAATCTGATTTTTTCATTGATTTTAATAGTTTTCAGAGAAATGCATAAGTATGATAATGAGATAACTGCATATTAATGATAATGTTTCAGTTGAATTGTGTAGAAGAAGTATTGTTTGATGGATGTTTGTAATTTTATATAAGTACCTCATCTGAGCAAATTTCATAGTGATATTATAAATTTATTATGTTGATTGTAGTGAGTAAACAACCGAATGACTTCGAAATATTCGACGCGAAAAAGTTGTATGCGAATTTGATTCGTGAATAAATTCTATCGAATTCGATGAAATTTGTGATTGTTTTTGAATTTCCTTGCTGGTCTATTGACATAGCGATTGTACGCTCTGAACGGTGATTGACACCGGATATTTAGTCATTTGCTTATATCAGCAATCGCTTTGATCACATGAGGAATTGACCTGATACTGAAACGGCGCTGCAGGCAGAATCCATGCTTATGTTTGTTATGGTCATTGAGTATCGGTCTGATTAGTTGAGTCGTTGGTTATTCAAAGTTGAGTCGTTGGTTATTTAAAATTCGGAATAATCGTTCAGATGAGCAGAATTCAAGTAACGGAATTCACAAGGTTACACAGAATATCGGTGCATAATTCACTGGATTCACAGCGTAGAGTATACATTTTGTTAATGTTTAAACTGGCGAATGAATAAACTGGCGAATGTGAAGTAATGAGTGATTAAAAGCAATGATTAATGGTATTGGTACACCACTCGGTTTCAAGCAAAACTTTCCTCCCGTTCGCGGAGGAAAGTTTTGCTTGAAACCGAG